TATAACGCTGTTTTAACATACATTTTAAATGCATCAAAAAATTGCAACTTCTTGTGATTTGGATATTGCACTAGGCCATATTGCGATTTCAATTATCTCTACTTTCACCACACTAGTGTTGTAAAATGCCGTTATATTGTGGTCAAAGAAAAAATATTCTTTTTTTCTATTTAATGTTTTACTTACTCTTAGCAGTTTCTATTAATTTAACAAAACTTATTTTGTTATATTCTATTTTTGAGACGTCAGTAATGCACAGCGTTTTTGTATTGTCAATATATCTAAAAAAAGTGTGGTAATTTTCAGAGCTTCATCTGTCTTTGTCCATTATAATCTGTGAATTAAAAGGCGATGCTGTGTGAAAAAAACCCATAAAACCCGGCTGATGAACTGATTCAAAGATACAAACCACTTGTCCGATGAGCTGGAAGCCAGTAGGAAGCTTCATCCCAAACACATCCAGCTGCTTCTCATTAATGAGCCACTCCTGAAGAGAAAGGAGCCATAAAAGTAACTTTATTACTTAATGATAATGCACTAATGCAGTTTGGGTTTGGTCAATTAGGACTACAGATAATCTAAGTGAGTCAAAACATGACCTTAGAGTTTCACCATCCTCATGAAAAGCAAAGTCAAAGCAGAAATCACCACAAACTTATTTGGCAATCGCACCGACTAAACTGATGTCACAGCAGGGCAGCAATTAGAGTGAGCCTTCCCCATCGAACACAATAGTTTGTCTAATCATTGTTAGAATACAAGTTATACAGTAGATCTAGGATCAGTAGTTGATTTACTTCGGACAGGAAAATGGGAGTTTTAGTGAACAATCCAACACACAGGAACTTGGCCGAAGCTTCGTAAATTCATCTGGGTGTAATTCCACCTTGCATCATTTTTGCTGAAATAACACTTTGAATTGAATTAGCGCTTACAAACCCAGAATCGTCCGAAGCTCCTGTCTGTGGCTTGAGGCTGCAGGCTGAGGAAGTCAGACAGGTAGGGCAGCGTGTCTCTCTGGATGCAGTAAAACACTACGCTGGCCAGCCGGGATTCTGTCAGCCCTTCCTGCGGTTTCTCCAAGAAGCGAGTTATCCTGATTTTATAAATGATCAGATTAACATCACATCTGCACAGTAGTGATGTGTACGAAATATATGTCAGTAAAGTTCTGGAAGAAAACTTCTTCTCACCTGTGGGTGTCAGGGCATACCTCCACGATGCCCCTGGAGCTGCTTTTCTCACTCTCTTCCAGCTCATAGTATATGATCAGCTCTCCAGGCTGCAGCAAAAAGAGAAAAGGCCATTAACACAATATGTATTCGACCTGTTGGGTGCAACAAGTATTTTTGATTTTGGATGGTTTCAGATTCCTTGTGTTTGGCCAGGACTTGACTTAATTGACCCATTCGAGGTCCCGCCCCTTTTTGTTCAGTGCTCCAATAACAGTTGAGCTAGCCTCGTTCAACTTTCTTTCCTATACTTAGATATGCTATATACTACGCTGCTCTGTGTTGAAAAGACAGCCACATTTGGAGATGGTTAAAAGACAAACGCTACACATATATATAGTCACACCTAGCTAGCTAACAACTGATGAAAAATGAGCTAGCTAGTGCTTTGCTAACATTAGCTATTAGATGTAACTAGCTAGTTAACAACTGATGTAGATTAGCTAGCTAGTTAGCTAGTGTTTTGCTAACCATAGCTAACTTAAGATGTGACTATATATGTATGTCGCTTTTGTCTTTTAACCATCTTCAAAATAATGCTTACAAAAATATGCTATGTGCTAGGCTAGTCCATGTTAGAAAGACAACCACATTTTGAAGATAGTTACAAAATAAAAGCAACATAGGCCCATTAATATGTAGTCGCGTCTTAAGTTAGCTTATGTTAGCAGAATACCAGCTAACGTGCTAGCTTCATGTCGTTTTTTTAACTAGTTAGCTGACATTTTGCTTAAATTAGCTAACTTGAGATGTGACTATATGCTTTTATCTTTTAGCCATTTGTGGTTGTCTTTTCAACATAGACGAGCCTAGCACATAGAATATCTAAGTGGAAAGGAGAGCTTCCAAAAGGGTTTTCCATATTTGACAGATGAGGACCAGACACCCTATAGCTTATCTACTCATAGAGAAGCACAGTTCTGCTGTCTGCTGCTACTATCTCAGGTGATAGGGAACATATTTTAATAAATATCCTTTCCTTTTTGTTTTATGTCCACTAAAATAATGATGTGTATGTGAATGAACTGTAAGTAAAAGGTCCTGGTGCCCATTTTTTAGTGAAGTAAATCTCACCTTTGACTTGAAGAAGCGGATCACTTGAGCAATGTCAAAGTTCTGGTCTGCACACAGCATGTCTCCAGCAATCTGTTTACGTAAATGGAAAACTCCTCATCGTAAGACAGACACTCATTCAGTTCAGTTCAAACACAGTGAAATGTAACTGAGCAGATATGTGATTGGACACACAACAAACAGATGTATCAAAGTCAAAGTCAGCTTTATTGTCAATTACATACCACAATGATGTCGTCCTGGAGCTTGCGGCTGCGTATGGCCAGCTGCAGGTCAGCCACGGCCCCGAGACGGTCCTCCAACGTAGTGCTGCCGTCATTCACCACATTTTCCACCGGGAAGTCATTAGCTGTGGCCCAGCGCTCGTAGTACTTATACCTGGTCAGTAAAACAGAATAAGAATAAAGCAGGAGCAGATTAAAAGAGTGCCAAATCAACACCCACCTGGTCATCCTACAGTTAGAACTTACTTGTCTGCATTAGTGACCAGATACACCTCTGTGAACAGCTGTCGCCTGGAGAGAAATCAGAGATCCATTGAGTGATTTAGAGTCAGACACTGGATAGAACTCAGAAGATAATCAGAAATTAGGCCCCGTCATGTTTGGGCCACTTCATTACGCACATGTTGACCGTCTCCCACCAAAAGTCAAGGATCTTCTTTCCACCAGTGCCAGGAAGTAAGGCCTTTGGTACCCCAGTCAGGTGGCTGTATAAGCCTGTGTCATCATTCTGGGAGAAGACAGGTGAGAAAAAAAAGCTGGACTCAAATACATAAATCACCATACTAACAAATCACATCATCATCAGTATATGCAAGTGTAAACAAACTTTTCTACGAGATGATTTGGGATTTTTTGCTATATGTCAATAACGTAGGTGAGTCTGTGATCAAGGTCGACAACAGACCAGTGTGGGTGGTTTACTGTATAATTAATGTAATGCGTATGTCCATTCTACTGTATTACAAACCTACAAATACACACACATACAGGCTTAGATGTTTCAGTTGGTGTAAAATGTAGCTACTCGCGACATTATCTGAACCTTCAACTCGAACTCAGGATCATACGTGGACTCTCAGGTGTTCCTGGACACAACACATCCCCCCTGTTTAGGAGACAACCACACACCAAACCTAATGAAAGAAGCTAGCTCCGTTACGCTGTTTTCTTTTTTGGTACTGCCAAGTCAACCATTAGATTACCGTCAATTATTCGGCACATAAAGATAAGCCAATAATCGCCAGTCATTTTCAGAAAACCTCATCTTTCAAGAAAGAGTACCCTATCGAATTCCTGTTATTCCGCTCCAATGCTCGGTAGGGGGCAGTAGAAGCCAGTGCTAGCCAATGATAAAACTGCACTTCTATCAAAAATGCGCTATAGTTGTTGGGTCAGATGTAGGCCGGATGCAGCAGTGCATCTTCACGATTCCGTAAATGTCCTGAGTGGTGGTCTAATATGTATATACGCTTGTCGAAGGTAACGCAATCGGCAAGTGTCCGATTCTTTAAAGCAGTTCGGCGTACAGTGCAGTATGACCGCTTCACAGCCAATGCGAACTTTGCACTGCTTCAACTTATCTCCTTTGTACTGCAACATTCAAGCTACTTACCTTAATTTGTGTCTCTAAGACGGTGCCGTGGCCGGCTACCAGCAGTATGCAGATCATTGAGGAAACTTGAGTTTGTCCTGTCGTTCCTTTAAACCAATAACAGTGCAGGGGTAGAGAAATATCTACAGTAGGTGCGAGTGCTGAATTCTCCCAGCGTCAATGAAATAATGCACTTCCGCACAGCACCTTCAAAATAAAACATACTCACGACTACGTACAGTAATTCTTATATTTGAAATGAAGATAAATACAGTGCATGTAAACAGTCTGTTCTCATAACTAAGATACAATATAAAAAAACAGTTTTACATCTGTTAACCAATTTACCAACTTTAATAAACATAACTGAAAGTTTATGACGTACAGTATATTATTTGATTTTTTTATTATAAAGACATACATAGCCTACCTACAATGCAATGCTTACCAACCCCTGTTTATTTAGTTAGTTACATTGTTGCAATGCAATTATTGTCCCCGGTGAGGTTTCAAGAAACATACAAAAATACAAAGCAAAAGAACTATGAAACTGGATGACAAACGTGGTATCAACTGGTGAAAGTGATAAAAGGTGAAAACAAGTCAAAGCATGAATACAATGTTTTTCTGAGACATTAACATGAGTGCATTTGATACAGAAAAGCACAGTACTGCAGAGGTTAAGAAAAAAGAAACGGACATGAGTAGTTGGTCATGTAGAGCTTACTGTACTGGAGGTTAATGAACAATCAGAATGTTTGTGGATGAAGGCGTTCACTGAGGGCTTCGTCGAACTGATTTGACTTCTGAAACTGAAGCTGATGTCGAATTTTTTCTCTCTTTTCAGATGCATCACGTTATTATGATTGGGTATTCACCAGGCAAAGAATTTCAATTCTGTAAAAAGCTTCAAAGATAATATTCAAGGGAGTCATTTAGCAAAGAAGCTGCATTTGAATATTAATGACAATATTCAATTATTTCCTCCTGTTTCATGCACACTCGACCACTAATAAAGTATCTCAAAGCATTTCAAGTACTCTTTTGGCCCATACATGGTTGTCTTCAAATATCCACTGAACATTGGCAACAGGCTTCTCACTGCGGATCTGTGCTGGATGATCCCACAATGCCATGTTGTCGCAGGAGGTTCCTCAGGATCTGATTCTTGGACTTCCAGTCTTCCACCTGAGCAACAGCAACACAGATAATGAAGTAAGAATATAATGTCAGGAATGAGTGCTTACTAAATCACAATGAAGTGTAGAAATAGGAGGTTTAGACTTGGCTGATTATTAGCCTTTTATTAGAATGGAGTTATCCGCCATGCTTCATAAGTAACATCCTCGGTTTAAATAGACAAATCTGGGTTGACGGTAGAAGTGAAGAAACTGGCGTGACTACCAGCACAATAACACTAACGCTGAAAATATTTGCATTGAATGGCACTGAAATAAAAACTACAAGTTGTTACAGAAGGCTTGACCTCATTGCACCTGCAAATCATTGTCAGCTGCTCTAAAAATAAACTGAGGGCCAATGGGAGGCAAAATCCACAAGGCTCTGCTCCATGAAACCAATTACAGCTGCAACGATTAGTCAGTTTGTTGGGCTTTGGACACACGTGATGACATCACCTTGGATTCTCAGAAAATGCGATGGCCATTTTTCAGTTTTCAGACATTTTATCGATTAATCTATTTATCAAACGAATGAAATAGAATTAATGACATTTGAATGAATCTCCATGAAATCATCATGTTTGCATTCTGAGCGACATCGACAGACCACTCAGGGACAGCTAAAGAAGGAGAAGTGAAAGAAGCTGTCCCCCACTGGAGTGTCGCTAATCTCATATGTTGAAGATTTCTTATAAATAGCATAATAGGTCTAATTATGCTTGTTGATTCATAAACTAGCTGAGTAATCTGAGTACACAGCAGTTCCGCACCGTGAAGGTAGATACAAATGCCTCCTTTTTTTCTCAAAAGACCTTGGTTATAACCAGGAACGGCTGGTATATATGGGCTAACATCTATCACTATCTTTTACAGCATAGATGAAAAACTATTACTAAAAACCTTAGAACATATTGTTTTTAATTTTGGTGGAACCTAGAGCAGCAACAGCACCAAACAGTGACAGAAAAACCCAGGATATATGATATATCTTGGGTTTTTCCTTTGAATGGGCTTATTTTTTACAGCCCAAGCCCAGTAGAGTAAGCTTCCATTCAATTTTGGACAAACGACAAAATCGTAACTTTTGTGTTACGTGGTTTCAGCGAAAGGACTGGCTAACGGCAAGTGTAGCTAGGAATTAACTTTTCTGTTTCTCATGTTTGCTTTTTGGAGGAGACA